GGCCGGGCGGAGAATCTTTTTGATTTCTTCCGCCACTGACCTCTCGGTCGGTTGTATCCAAATACAATTTCCTCTATTTCTGGGTCCCCAGAGGGGACGGGGAGTTGTGGACAATCCAGTGTTGTATCACACTCACCCTCCTCTCTCGCCAGTGAGCAGCATCGGGCGGATCGGGGGACGAAACAACAGACTACCCACGCACCCTCTGCTCGAACGCAAGACAGTGTTACACATACTCAGACTCCGCCGGGTACGAGATGCCCGGACCGGGTCCCTGCATTCTCCCTCGCTGCCCCACCTGCGGGTACGCCTGTAGTTCCGTTGGTGCCACTTGCGCGGCGTCTGGGAGCCTGGCTAGCACTACCCAGCCCGTCTCGATGGCTTCTTCGAACTGTCAGGCTCGGCTATGCGATTCAGTTTGCCCGGCGCCCTCCCGAGTTCAGGGGTGTCCACTTTACTTCAATGAAAGCAGCAGTTGCCCCTGTCTTGCGTGCAGAGATCGCAGTCCTTCTGGCGAAGGATGCGATAGAGCCGGTCCCTCCAGCCGATATGAAGATGGGGTTTTACAGCCCCTACTTCATTGTACCCAAGAAAGGCGGTGGGTTACGACCAATCTTGCATCCGTCCCCGAGATTTGGTTTGCAGCGATTGACCTGAAGGACGAGTACTTCATGTGTCGACCCTTCTGCACCACAGACCACCGTTGAGGTTTGCGGCCGAAGGATGAGCATATCAATTACGAGGTCCTGCCCTCTGGGCTTTCCCTGTCGCCCCGGGTCTTCACGTAAGTTGTGGAGGCATCCCTTGTTCCCCTGAGAGAACAGGGCATTCACATTCTCAACTACCTCGACGACTGGCTCATATTAGCTCAGTCTCAGTATCAGTTGTGCGAACACAGGGACTTGGTGCTCTCGCACCTCAGCCAGTTGGGCCTTCGGGTCAACTGGGAAAAGAGCAAACTCTCCCCGACGCAGAGGATCTCTTTTCTCGAGTGTAAACTAAACGAGCCAATACACATTGGCATGCGATTATCGCATCCAGTTGCCACTGATCACAGCGCGAGTATAAGTAGGCAGCAGATGCAGCGCATATTCAGCTTTTCGCTTCAGAGCCGAGTGGTTTTATCGTTCTGCTCCTGACCTTCTGCTTAACCGAGTGATCTACGCGGTGGTTTTCTTGTGTCG